AATATATATATATATATATATAAAGAAGGGAATGTTTGGAAGCAGTCCTATATGGAACGTTGTCAATACTTTTTCCATCAATTAGCAAATTATTGTCAAGCGCAAAGGATCGAGATCAGATGTTAAGTTTTGGCTTGGAAGATTTACTGCTCAGGCCTATGCTGTATACAAGAATCTATTCAAGTAACGATCATCATGAACTGGAATTAGTTAAGAGTCCATGGGATTCAAGAGGAGCTGAATTTGGATCGCTTGGGGCAACATAAGGACTGTAAACTGATGACACGTTTAACTCCGCCCTGCAAGCTGTTCCTGCTCTTTTCCGAATGGAATGGAATGGAATAGAAATATAGAATAGAATAGAAATATAGAGTGAATAGATAGAATAAAAATATAAAATGAATAGAATAGAATAGAATAGAATAGAATAGGAATAGAATAGAATAGAATAGAATAGAATAGAATAGAATAGAATAGAATAGAATAGAATAGAATAGAATAGAATAGAGAATAGGACAGAATAAGGAATAGGAGAGAATAGAATAGAAATACAGAATAGAATAGAATAGAATAGAATAGAATAGAATAGAATAGAATAGAATAGAATAGAATAGAATAGAAAAGAAATATAGAATGAATAGATAGAATAGAAATATAGAATGAATAAAATAGAATAGAATAGAATAGAACAGAAATATAGAATAGAATAGAAATATAGAGTAGAATAGAATAGAAATATAGAGTAGAAATATAGAATGAATGGAATAGAAAAGAAATATAGAATGAATAGAATAGAAATATAGAACAGAATAAAATAGAATAGAATAGAAATAAGAATGAATAAATAGAATAGAAGATGGAGGTCTATACCATTTCAGGCAAATGGCTGTCCAATCTTTTCTTAAAAACTTCCAGTGTTGGAGCAGCCACAACTTCTGGAGGCAGATGGTTCCACGGATTAATTGTTCCAACTGTCAGGAAATTTCTCCTTAGTTCCAGGTTGATACTCTCTTTGGTCAGTTTCCATCCATTGCTTCTTCTCCTGCCTTCAGGTGCTTTGGGGAATAGCTTGACTCCCTCTTCTTTGTGGCAGCCCCTGAGATACTGGAAGACTTGGCATTTGCTGTTGACTTGCACCATAATTATTTTTTCCCAGAAATTTTGGAAAGAAATTATATAAAGGGGCTCAGCAGGCTGTCCATGCATCTTTCTGGCAGCACAGTGACTCCGAAAGTAGAATAGGATTAAATCTGGTGTGAGGGAAGAAGCTGATGAAAGAAAGATCAAGTTGAAAAAACAAGCTAGGAGAAGGGGGGGAACCCCTATTTATTTTTCTTCCATTAGGTCCTCATGGGAAGGGCAGTAGGGCAACGGCTTGACATGTTGCTGATTGCTCCATTGTAATCTTTGATCCTCTTCCTTTCCAGTGATGTTAACCAGAGTTTTAAGGGGTTGGAAAGAATGTCAGCATCCAAGGTCTGCAAATTAGTGTTAAAGTGCAGCGCGCAAAATTGCACAGCCATTACGCTTAATCAAACGATTTGGGTAAACGAAAAGATCATTTTCACATTTTTACTTCTCCGAGAATGGAAGTTTAAGCCATGCGGTGTTGGGAGAACATCAGCTGGGGAAATATTTTTACTCCCAGATTTCTTCATCCAAGCTTCTTTAGCCTCTTTCTCTTTTCATGTTTGCGGATTTGCATCTCTTTGGGGCTTCCCAAGTTCAGTTTGAAACACAAGCAAAAAAAAAAAAGGTTTGATTAGGAGAAAATCAGTGTTTAAGCCACATGTGTTTTAATGTGAGATTCGAAGCAGGTGGGAGGTGTTAAAAAACAAGCCAGGGTTTTAAGGCTTTGAAAAGTACAGTAGTTTGGATTCAAGGCAGATATGCTGTCAGTGTTTCTCAACCTTGACAACTTTAAAGAGGTCTGGACTTCAACTCCCAGAATTCCCCAGGCACTCAACGCTGGCTAGGGAATTCTGGGAGTTGAAGTCCAGACTAAAAGCTGCAAAGGTTGAGAGACTGCTTTTGATGCTTAGGAAATAGATTCCTTAGAATATTAAGTTTATAAACCACAGAATTTAACAACAGTGGTAGTCCCCACAACTGAGCCCCAAATTTCTGTCGCTCAGCAAGACGGTTGTTAAGTGAATTTTGTCCCATTTTGTGACCTTTTTTGCCACGGCTGTTAAGCGAATCGTGGCAGTTATTAAGTTAGTAACATGGTTGTTAAGTGAATCTGGCTCTCCTATTGAATTTGCTTGCCAGAAGGTCAGAACAAGCGATCACATGACTCAGGGACACCGTGACCGTCATAAATATGAATCAGTTGCCAAGTGTCCAAGTTTTGATGCCCTGATGGTGAAAACTGGCCATGAGTCACTGTTTTTCAGTGCCGTTGTAACTTCAAAATGGTCCCTAAATGAACTGTTTTAAGAGGAGGACTACCTGTAAATATGTTTACATATGAGAACCCGGGATATCATTTTTGTTTTTAATCTAAAGAGGATTTCCTAGAAGAAGGAGGAGGAGGAGGAGGAGGAGGAGGAGAAGGAAGAAGGAAGAAGGAAGAAGAAGAAGAAGAAGAAGAAGAAGAAGAAGAAGAAGAAGAAGAAGAAGGAAGAAGGAAGAAGGAAGAAGGAAGAAGGAAGAAGGAAGAAAGAAGAAAGAACAACCCCTACAGTTGTTTTAGCTTTGTTTTAGCAGTTAACATTTGAGTCACCGTCCAGGTCTACAAAGACATGAGTTTTTCAAATATTGAAAATATTGACTTTTTCAAACTATTGAAACACGACAAGACGAACCGAGCAACAGCGCAAGCTACGAAGCGAAGGGAGAACGTATTTTTGGAAATCTTTGTTTAACGAGAGTGGTTACACAATCAAAAAGACGAATAGGTGAAATGAAAGTGTTTGGTTCCAAATGTTATTATTATTTTTTCCACAGTTATGACTATGAGGGCTCCCAAGAATGATTGTGGAAGAGCCCTTAGCTGATTGCTTCATAGAAAAGCCAAAATTGGGGGGAAATTTTCTTGTATTTTTAAGCTAAAGTCTACTGAGGTGTAATAAATCATCGCTTTTGCCAACAGGGTGTTGTTATCCACAAAATAAAGAATATTCACATATGCATCAAACTGAGGCAGCTTAGTCCTAGTGACTTCACTACATACCTCTCTGGTGAACTAAGTTTTCACATGTTCTGTTTCTAATATTTCAGCCTGAGAACCTCTTTGGACAAAAATGCATCATTTTAAAGAGGGAGACAAGATGTTAGAAAGTCGATCCAACATTTCAGTTTCTTTTCTGAGACTTAAGTTGGATATTTTAGCTGAGAGGTTGATAATTGTCCAAGAATTTGAGGCTGCATTTTATCGTTCAGGTAGTCCTCAACTTAACGGCCACAATTGAGCCCAAAATTTCTGTTGCTAAGTGAAACTGTTGTTAAGTGAATTTGACTCCGTTATATGACCTGTCTTGCCACGGTTGTTAAGTGAATCACCGCAGTTGTGAAGTTAGTAACGCTTTTGTTAAGTGAATCTGGCTTCCCCGTTGACTTTTGTTTGTCAGAAGGTCGCAAAAGGGGATCACGTGACCCCTGGGAACACAGCGACCATCGTAAATATGAAATGTTGATTACATGGCCATGGGGACGTGGCAATGTTGGAAGTATGAAAAGCAGTCTTGTCTTTTTTCAGTGCCGTTGTGACTTCGAACAATCGCTAAATCAACCGTTGTAAGTTGAGGACTACCTGTATTTAAGGCAGGGGTGGGGGAAGAATGACCCTTTCATGACTTGTGGACTTCAACTCCCAGAATTCCATGCTGCCTCAGGAATTCTGGGAGTTGAAGTCCACAAGTCATGAAGGGGCCATATTTCTCCATGTTGGCTGAGGAATTCTGGGAGTTGGAAGTCCACAAGTCATGAAGGGGCCATAGTTCCCCCATGCTGGCTCAGGAATTCTGGGAGTTGAAGTCCACAAGTCATGAAGGGGCCATATTTCTCCATGTTGGCTGAGGAATTCTGGGAGTTGAAGTCCACAAGTCATGAAGGGGCCATAGTTCCCCTATGTTGGCTGAGGAATTCTGGGAGTTGAAGTATAATAATAATAATAATAATAATAATAATAATAATAATAATAATAATAATAATAATAATAATAATAAAGTTGGAAGGGACCTTGGAGGTCATCGAGTCCAACCCCCGGCTCAGGCAAGAATCCTTATATCAGGGGTGGGCAACCTCAGCTCTTTTATGACTCATGGACTTCAACTCCCAGAATTCCTGAGCCAGCATGGCTCAGCTTGGAAACTCTCCCTTTCCCCTCAGCTTGGCTGGCTCAGGAATTCTGGGAGTTGAAGTCCACGAGTCATAAAAGAGCCAAGGTTGCCTACCCCCGCCCTAGACCATTTCAGACAGCCATTGTGGCCAAAAAGGTCATAAAACGGGGCAGTTTGGGGACTTGAAGTCCACAACTTAACAACTGTTTCGCTTAGTAAGAGAACTTTTGGGGCTCAATTGTGGTTGTAAGTCAAGAAGTACTGTAGAACATGGAAGACCGTTGGTTCCTTTTTTCTTTTTTTCTTTTTTCCCTGCTAGTGAGTTTCGCCCCCCCCCAATCAATTTTACCCACTTATTTCAGCCGCCTCGCCCATTTTCTTCCTCCCCACAAGGGTTAGGGCTAACGAATGAGGGTTAACCATTTCCTCTGACTGCCTGAGCTCAGACTGTAATCCCAACAAGCAGTGTATCTTGCATCAATCAGTTACATCTGTGGCAGGCACAAAAACAAACCCCAGTTTTTTGTTCTGTGGTTTTTCGCACAAGTGGTCGGGCAAAATCCAATCAAGAGCCAGGCCTTTTAATAGAAATTCTTGAAACGGTTCCCTCTGAAAGCTTTTGTGTTCCCTCTTCTCGCAAACAGTATTTCGTTTCATTGTTTAGGAAAGTAGATGTTTTCCCCCCACGCTAGAGGAGATTTGTGTAACTTGTTGTAGCAAACGTTTCGCATCGAAATGCCTTGAGTAGCAAAGCCGAGGGGTTTCAAAGCGGGTGAATGCGAATGTACCGTTGTGCATTGTTTAATGACCCTGTTACAGGGGTGTCAAACTCAATTTCATTGAGGGCCGCATCAGCATTGCGGTTGCCCTTGGCGGGCCGGGTGGGTGCGGCCTACGGGGTGGGCCTGCCTGGAGTGGGTGTGGCCTACTGGGTGGGCATGGCCAGTTCTACATCGTTCGCGTCAAGGGTGCCTGTGGGGGCCTGGGCAGGAGTGGGACAGATCTGGGGGTCTCTGGCAGAAGGGGGTGGGACCGGGGCAAGCGCCAAGGCAGGGTCCATTTCTTCATTCCTCACTATGGGTGACACCTCCCCAGCATGCAGGGCCGACGCGGCAGGGGTTGGTTCCTTGCTGTTTCTGGACGGCCTTGTGGAGCTAAGACTGAATGTGTTTCAGCATAAATGGCCACCATAAAATTGTACATTGGCTCCCGGGCGGCCAGGGCCAAGGCATCGGGGGCCGTTCCCTCACTGTTTCCAGGATGGCTTCGCGGGCCACATGAAACCACTTCGCGGGCCGCATCCGGTCCCCAGGCCTTGCGTTTGACACGTCTGCCTTAGAATATTAAGTTTATAAACCATAGAATTTAGCAAGAGTGGTAGTCCCCGACGTACGACCACAACTGAGCCCCAAATTTCTGTCGCTCAGCAAGACGGCCGCATCCAGCCCCCGGGCCTTGTGTTTGACATGTCTGCCCTATTACATCCCACAGAGATTCTACAAGTTGTAGTAGGCCACAGTTTTGCTAGCTGGACTGCTCTAATTGTTACCAGGAGGAAACCTACAATTTCTGGAAAGAGTGTGTACGTGCAGTTTCCCCTTATTGGAAGGGGTGAGAGCCACAGCGTCTTATCATTTATTTACATTGCCCTTTCTTCCTGTTTCAGATTTCCACTATATCTAAAAGGAGGAGAGAAGCTACAGTTTGATTATGGCGTCTTCCTTCTGAACAAAAATATTGCACAGGTATGTTCGTTCTAAGCAAGTTTGCTCTTCTGGATTGGAAGCATGGAGACTTGAGAGGGAGGAGGCTCTTACAGGTAGTCCTCATTTAAGGACAGGAATTGGGATTGGAATTTCCACTGAGGGGGTCTTTGGTGCTTTCTGAGCTTGGCGGTTTTCTTGCAGACGTTTCATTGCCCAAACTAGGTGACGGCATCCGTGCTCTGATAATGGCGATGAGCACTGAAGATGTTACCTAGCTTGGGTAATGAAACATCTGCCAGAAAACTATGAAGCTCAGAGAGCACCAAGGACCCCACAGTTGTTGTTGTTGTCATCCTCCTCCTCTCTGCAAACCCCACTCCCTTCTAGCACTGATGATGTTACCTGGTTTGGTAAGGGGAAGGAAGATGTGCTTTTCTCATGCGGCGCAGAAAGTGCAGGTGCTGCTGCGCCTGCTTCACCAGTGTCTCGCTGTTGAGCGACCAAGCCATCCTACTTGTTAGCTGCACACCCAGGAATTTGACGCTGGTAACCGTCTCCACAGGTGAATCATTAATGCACAGAGAAATGTGGCTGTGCCTGCCTTTTCTGAAATCGACAATGATCTCTTTGGTTTTTCCGGTATTTAAAACTAGGCTGTTTTCCTTTACACCAGTTCACCAACCCCTCAACCTCCTTGCGGTAAGCTTCCACCTTGTCATCCTGAATAAGGGCCACTGGTAGCCTCCTGCTGCAGTAAACAAGGACATGCATCCAATTTCATACCTACCAAGACTGTTGGCTGAGCAGGGACAAAAACAGCTACAGAAATGATTGAAGCCTGGGAAACGGGCCCCTTGTCAGTCACTACCGGCTACACTGCATTCAGAAAGCATTTCCTTTTTAATAAATGTACAGACATCTCAAAAATTCCGTTTTCACTTTGTCACTATGGGTTAACGAGGAGAAAAAATGAATTTCAACCACCGTAGTAATCAGGCTGCACCATAACAAAATTGACAAAAGCAAAGGGGGTCTGAACGCTTTCTGAATGCAGTGTAGCTAGCAGCCGGAGGGGCCGAGGGTTTGGCAGCACAAGGAACCAACAACTAACGACTTAATAGCCAGCGTCATCACCCTAGTCAACAACTTAAAGCTATACACAACCAGAAACCATATAAATACGATGCACATATTCCGGAGAGAGAGTAATTCTTGAGAATGGGTTTCAGCATGAGCCCAAAAGCTTGGAAGAATAAACCAAAAAGGCCAACACAGTGCTAGGCTGCATTAACAAAGGGATAGAATCAATAATAATAATAATAATAATAATAATAATAATAATAATAATAATAATAAACCCTTTATTATCAAAGTATAACATGTATACAGTGAAATTGGCTGAGCGTCCCTCTGTGCCCTCCCTCACGTGAAGGGTTAGTACCACTTTACAAGGCCTTGGTAAGGCCACACTTGGAATACGGCATCCAGTTTTGGTCGCCACGATGTCAAAAAGATGTTGAGACTCTTTCTAGAGTGCAGAGAAGAGCAACAGAGATGATTAGGGGACATTGGAGGCTAAAACATGCAAGGAACGGTTGCTGGAATTGGGTATGTCTAGTTTAATGAAGAGAAGGACGAGGGGGGACATGATAGCAGCCTTCCAGTATCTCAGGGGCTGCCCCAAGAAGAGGGAGTCAAGCTATTCTCCAAAGCACCTGAAGGCAGGACAAGAAGCAATGGATGGAAACTCATCAGGGAGAGAAGCAACCTAGAAATAAGGAGAAATTTCTTGACAGGGAGAACAATTAACCAGTGGAACAACCTGCCTCCAGAAGCAGTGAACGCGCCAACATTGGAAGTTTTTAAGAAGAAACTGGACAGCCATTTGTCCGAAATGGTATAGAGTTTCATATCTGAGCAGTGGGTTGGACTAGATGACCTCCAAGGTCCCTTCCAACTTTATCATTATTATTATTCTATTCTATTCTATTCTATTCTATTCTATTCTACTCTACTCTACTCTACTCTACTCTACTCTACTCTATTCTATTGTATTCCTATTCTATTCCTATTCTATTCTATTCTATTCTATTCCTTAATTTTATTATATTCTATTTTATTATATTCTATTCCTGTGGTCCCGTTGACCGACTCAGATTGAATCCTGCAACATTATCCTAGGACACATATAATTTGCCTTCATTGCTTTTAAAGCTGCTGGCAGTCCTTTATGCTGGCTTTTCAATGGCCTGCCTCTTACTCACAGATTCCTCTGGGGGGGCTGAAAGGACTGAGATATACAGAGCAGAATCATTGGAAAATCAAAACATTTCCCTGGAGCGGAGATGGAATCTTTGTGAAATTTGCAGCCGAGGAACAATGCAAACCACAACCGATTCCTTAGAGAATATAAGGTGGAGTTACAGGCAGGTCAACACAATGCCTGCAGATCGTTATGGGCGTTGTTTTGAAAACTCGTAATGGTATATCAGCGTGCTCCGTTTCGGCTAGTTGATAATGGCTTCCATCTGTTTAGTTTAAAAAGACCCCTTTCTCTCTCTCTTTTCTTTTTCAAGAAGTCATAACTAATCACATACAGCAATTCCTGTTATTACTTGGAACTGAAAAGTTGTCGCTTCCCCCCCCCCCCTTTTTCTGATGTAAGGCCGACTCCTAACAGCAGTTCAAGAAAAAAAAAAGCTTGCTAAGAACCGGAAACGGATTGCAATAAAAACCAAACGGTCTATAAAAAGAAGTTGCAAAAGACCAAAAAATAAATAAAATAAAAAAAATGCGTAGGTGATATAATACAGGGTCCTCGATTCACAACAGTTCATTTAGTGACTGTTTGAAGGTTACAGTGGCACTGGAGAAAGGGACCTATGACTGTTTGCAGTGTCCCCAGGGTCACATGACTCATATTTGGCAACTGACTCATATTTATGAGTGTCTCGGGGTTAGGGGACCCTGTTTTGCGACCGTCTGACAAGCCAGATTCACTTAACAACTGTGTTACTAACTTAACGCATTTACAGCCCTTTGCAGCATCCCACAGTCCGATAACCATGTTTTATTATGTTTTTTTGCTGGAAACTGGCATTTTGCTTCTGCTTTTTGGCAAAACCAGCCCATGTGACGATTGAAAGCTGTAATTTGAGGATTACCTAAGAGAGGGACCTCGGAGTCCTAGTGGAGATTCACCTAACTATGAGTCAACCGTGTGTTGCAGGTGCCAAAAAAAGCCAACACAGTGCTGGGCTGCATTAACAGAGGGATAGAATCAAGATCACATGAAGTGTTAATACCACTTTACAAGGCCTTGGTAAGGCCACACTTGGAATCCTGCATCCAGTTTTGGTCACCACGATGTAAAAAAGATGCTGAGACTCTGGAAAGAGTACAAAGAAGAGCAACAAAGATGATCGGGACTGGAGGCTAAAAATATAAGGAAAGGCTGCTGGAATTGGGTATGTCTAGTTTAATGAAGAGAAGGACGAGGGGGGACATGATAGCAGTCTTCCAATATCTCAGGGGCTGCCCCAAAGAAGAGGGAGTCAAGCTCTTCTCCAAAGCCCCTGAAGGCAGGACAAGAAGCAACTGGTGGAAACTCATCAAGGAGAGAAGCAACCTGGAACTAAGGAGAAACTTCCTGACAGTTAGAACAATTAACCAGTGGAACAACCTGCCTCCAGAAGCGGTGAATGCTCCAACACTGGAAGTTTTTAAGAAGAGACTGGACAGCCATTTGTCCGAAATGGTGTAGGGTTTCCTGCCTGAGCAGGAGGTTGGACTAGATGACCTCCAAGGTCCCTTCCAACTTTATTATTATTATTATCATTCCTTTTTTTGTTTAAAAAAAAAAAAAAAAAAAGGTGCCAGAACTCACACACGTCATACAACCCGCCTTGCCTACCCTGCAAGGTTCCATCCAAAAAAGGTGCCAGAACTCCGTTCTGGGCGTTCTATGACAAAAAAAAGCCCTGATTATTATTAAGTGGAGAAACCTTTGCCAGAGTTATTTTAATTTGGATTCCTATTTGAGGCACTCAGTGCCCTTAACCACCCCTTCCAGTCAATTCCGTGGTGACATCTTGTGCCTGATCGTAATAGCTAAGTAATCTTGACTTTGAGAATGGCAGTATCTCTATTTTTCTTCTCTCAACCCAGAACAGATTTTTTTTATATATATTGAAGCGGTCTCTCGTTGCTTACTTAGACTTACAGATCTCCCTTCTATTCCATTTCTTTTGTCCCTAAGATCCCGGAAAGCCAGAAATAAGAAATATCGTAGGACATAACCTGCATTTATTTATGTATTTATTGTTTTTAAACTGCTATAAACTAAGAAGCAGAACAAACGGGACATCGTAGCCAAAAAAACAAAAACGTTTGGAAGATAGCAAGTCAAAAGTAGAAGGCAAAGAATTCAATAATGCATATATATTTTTTTCACTTTAAACCCTGATAAGAGAACTGTCTTAAATAAGCTGACTGTCAAGCTGTGGGAAATTAGGAGGGATGAGTTGGATAGTGCAGTTGGCTGTTGTCCTTCATTCCATCTGCGATTGGATTTGGTGAGCCAAGGAGGATCTCAGTTTTATTTCCAGTATTATATTAGAAGTAGGAGTGTCTCCAGTCAACACCGATTAAAGAATAAGTAGCAGCTGTTTATCTCCATTAAGTGTGTGGGCAGAAACGTTGGGTGGATAGCTTTCTCCAGGGTACGGGGAAATTTTCCAATAGACACAGGATCAATGGTAGAAGCAGCATCACAGCCGAGAAACCCAGTGGAAGAGTGGTCCTTATGTCTTCTGGTGGCAAAATCAGGGAAACTAAAGACAGATGGAGAAAGATTTGAGCCACAAAAGGTGAGACGGTCACACCAGTGGTGGGATTCAAATATGTAAGGTTCTACATTTAAGCAAGAAAAACCAAAGGCACAGGTATAGTATAGGGGGTACCTTGTTCAATAGTAGTAACTGTGAGAGGGATCTCGGAGTCCTAGTGGATAATCACTTAAATAGGAGCCAGCAGTGTGC